AGACACGTTACTTTAAAGTTTCTGTGGAGTTAGCTTTTGATAGATTGTTCTCGCAGTAGCGTAATATGCTACCAGCAGTGCTCGTATATTTCCAAATTTATGCCAGTAATTGTGCTAGTTTTTGTAAATTATACTCAATTTAGCAAAAAATACACTGAAATTATGCATCTCCTTTCTACTTTAAAATTAGCAAAAACACCTCAAAAACTATGCATATGCAACAAACTAGTAAACGACAAAAATAATTACCCTATTTACATCAATGTGCGCATGTGTTGAGTGTAGGTCATGATGGATGTGACAATAAGCAGACAAAATGATTTTGTTACTTAGATTTGCCTGTAATACTGGTCTCGGGCCAAAAGGAATTGGTTGTGTGGTCAATAAATGACAATTTTGTGCTGTAAAACTAGCCAAAGTGTAACTGATTATGTTACCAGTGCTTTCTCCGGAAAATAGATGAAAACCATGGCTAAGAATTATTCCAAAAATTATGCTGGCACAAATCCGTCAAAGCCTGTGTGAAACCATTTTAATGTAAACGCTCAAAGGTCATGATCACGAAAGAAGTTCTGGTTGCACCAACGAGGTTGCCGTATTGCCTAGTTTTTAGCTCTTGGGCCGAGTCGTAAGGCAGAATTCAACTTATTGTATTTACTTTGTTAACCTCCACCACCTTCCTTTGCGTCGATATTCTCACCCCAGAGGCAACTGCTGGTCTCTTACTTCTTGTCTTTCCCATGCACACTAATAAAAAGCGTTAATAATTAAACCAGTTTTAACGAAATATAATTGAGCGACATAAACTGAAGCTAAATAACTGGCTTTTTAAAACAAATAATTCAAGTTAGTTTTCACAAGTTTTTTTTTTACTGAACACTATAAATTTTGTAGTCCACAGTATATCAAGCAGACATTTTTTAAAAAGGAAAAGCTTTGGTGTGAATAGGGCGTAAGAATCAGTCGTTTATCTTAGAATACTTTTCCTGTCGACTTTCCCAGTATTTATACCAGTAATATGAATTTCGCAAAATTTACTTCCGGTTTACTACGAATAAGTATTTTTTCCCTTAAAAATCTACGGTATTTCTCTCCCCAGGTGTGCACGCTAGCAAAAATTTAACGCATTTATTTTCGTTTTTACCAAAATTGTGAAAATGGATATGAGAGCGCTTTACTAATGACACATGACGCATCATAATAGCAATATAGTGTACCGCAACCAAAAACTGAAGCAACCTATATGTAGAAAACGAAGTACTCTTCAGGTTTCAAACAGACCTCATGCGGCTTGAAAACGAAACAGCCTTGTAAGTGGAAAACGAAAACCCACAGAAGCCAAAAATGTTTAGTGTTTTTTAATGTATATTTTTGTTAGTGAAACCCTTAAACGTTTTTTTTGAAGGACATTGGGTCTAATTTTTTCAAGGCGTATCATATATGTAAAAGGTGATTTGCAAAATAGACCAGCCCTTCCCCAAACCCCACCCTCACCCTACCCCCTCCAAAAAGTGATTTAGTCTACGTAAAAAAGTAAACTGGAAATCGGCATTTGAAAATCCATTCTTTGTTGACAATGAACGAGATTTATCAACTTAATCATCCCCTCTCTTCATCCATGACCAGTGCTGGGTCTGATCGTTCTGCTGAATTTTTCCCCCAGATCCAGAGAATTCATAATGACGGAGAGTAAAATTAAAGCAGAAGGTGAGAGTAATGACAAATCAGCGGGGAAGCAAGTTTTGGATTTTGACGAAGCAACTTTAAAAGGTAAGGAAACTTAAAAATGTTGATATTTAAGGCGTAATGCCAAAAGGTCTTCGTACCAAATAAACAACAATCCTAAGATATGCGACATTGAAATTTTCTAATACCATATTTCAAACAGCCTGCGTACTTTCTATATAGGCGAATCTTTGTTTACATTTTCTGCCACATTAACATATGCTCATCATTATCTGATGAAGCTAATAAAATAAAACCCTGAAAATTGAAAAAGTATAACAATTTCAGTTATCTCTGAAAATTAAGCCCGATATACCGAATGGTTTCGGAGAAATTCTCCTTTAAAAACTAGAAATTTCTCAAAGAATGTATTAGATGACTCATTAACTTTTTTGCCACCCAGCAATTTCGCATTTTTGGATGGCTGATACTTCCTTCAACATTGCTTTTAATAAGCAGAAAATTTCACAAATTGTTTTAGTTAATCAGCTATTTCACGCAATTTTTGAATTTAGTTGGTATATTCGGCCACAGCTTCTTTGTGTTAAGTCGCCCGCTAATGAGGAAAAATGTAAACAATGACGTCAGCAAAGATTCGTCTTTAGTAATTTGTAGAGGGACTATACTAATGGTCAAGATAACGCGTGGGCCGGCTGAACAGAGATTGAATTTGAACTCAATAAGTGAAACAACCTTCCTAAAAAAAACCCAAATCTCTATTTCAACACGGTACAAATTCATCAGGTTTTTTTTGGTACAATATACAAAAAATATACAAAGTAAACGAGTAAAGAATGCATTAAGCTCCCTTTGGTACACTAATAACATTCCCGATATTTCATTTGTTTCATTTTTAGCAATAGCAGAGGTGTTCAATAATGAAGGTAATGAAGCATACATAAAGGAGATAACAGAAATGCCTTTTACTTTCATACGGAGGGAATTAAAGTGAACTGCAAGGACGAAGAACTCCTTGCTGAACTGTACAGCACCAGGGCGGAAAAGAAGACGAAATTCAAATGTTCAAAGTTTACCGGCGTATTAAAATGCGTATGCTTAGGATTGTCCAGAAAAGCGTACAGTCGACTCTCTATTAACGGACACCTCTATAAGACGGACACCTCTGTAAAAGGGACACTTAGAGTTGGTCCCTGCCTTTCTCTACTCCCTTTGTTTGACTCTCTATAAGACGGACAGCTCTCTAAGATGGACACTTAGTGCCGGTCCCAAAGGTGTCCGTCTTAGAGAGAGTTGACTGTACATGCCATGCAGTACATTTCAAATGTTCTTTTGTCGCCATGACTATCATAACAACGTTTAAAAGCTTTTTTACTCTTTCTTTGTACATTGACTGTTGATTTGAGCAATCAGCATAAATACGTTTGTATCACATCATGGCTCTCCTGATTTACGTTATTACGTATTTACACAATTTCAGGTGATTTCCCAAAAGAAAACGATTTCCTTCAGAAGGATGTCAGTATCGCAAAAGAGATTGAAAATAAAAGATCAGAAGGAATGGGTTACATCAAGCTCGGCTGTGTGTGTCATGACTCTCGCTGTGATTTCGGAAAAGCAATCGAGTTCAGTCAGCAAGGTCTAGTTATCGCTAAAGAGGTCGGAGACAAAGAGTCAGAAGGAAAGGCGTATGGCCACCTTGGTCATGCGTATTCTTCTCTTTGTGATTTCCCAAAAGCAGTCGAGTTCTATCAGAAGAATGTCAGTATCGCAAAAGAGGTTGAAGATAAAAAATCAGAAGAAATGGCATACATCAACTTTCGCGTTGTGTACTGTGACGACCTCGGTGATTTCAGAAAAGCAATCGAGTTCTTTCAGCAAGGACTAGCTATAGCTAAAGAGGTGGGAGACAAAGAATCAGAAGGGAGGGCGTATTGGGACCTTGGCATTGCGTATTCTTCTCTTTATGATTTGTCAAAAGCAATCGAGTTCTATCAGAAAAATATCAGTATCGCAAAAGAGGTTGAGGATAAAAAATCAGAAGAAAAGGGATACAACAACCTTGCCTGGGTGTATTCCTCACGCGGTGATTACAGAAAAGCAATTGAGTTCTATCAGCAGGGTCTAACTATCGCTAAAGAGGTCGGAGACAAAGAGACAGAAAGAATGGCATATTGGAAGTTTGGTATTACGTATTCTTCTCTCTATGATTTCCCAAAAACAATCGAGTTCTATCAGAAGAATGTCAGTATCGCAAAAGAGATTAGTAATAAAAAATCACAAAAAGAGGGATACATCAACCTTGGCGTTGTGTACTGTGACCACCTCGGTGATTTCAGAAAAGCAATCGAATTCTCTCAGCAAGGTCTAGTTATCGCTAAAGAGGTCGGAGACCAAGAATCAGAAGAATGGGCGTATTGGAACCTTGGTATTTCGTATGCTTCTCTTTATGATTTCCCAAAAACAATCGAGTATTATCAGAAGAATGTCAGTATCGCAAAAGAGGTTGAAAATAAAAAATCAGAAAAAATGGCATACATCAACCTTGCCCGGCTGTATTCCTCCCACGGTGTTTACAGAAATACAATTGAGTTCTATCAGCAGGGTCGAAACGTCTAACTATCGCTAAAGAGGTCGGAGACAAAGAGACAGAAAGAATCGCGTATTGGAAGTTTGGTATTGCGTATTCTTCTCTCTATGATTTCCCAAAAACAATCGAGTTCTATCAGAAGAATGTCAGTATCGCAAAAGAGATTAGTAATAAAAAATCACAAAAAGAGGGATACATCAACCTTGGCGTTGTGTACTGTGACCACCTCGGTGATTTCAGAAAAGCAATCGAATTCTCTCAGCAAGGTCTAGTTATCGCTAAAGAGGTCGGAGACCAAGAATCAGAAGAATGGGCGTATTGGAACCTTGGTATTTCGTATGCTTCTCTTTATGATTTCCCAAAAACAATCGACTTCTTTCAGAAGAATGTCAGTATCGCAAAAGAGGTTGAAGATAAAAAATCAGAAAAAGAGGGATACATCAACCTTGCCTGGGTGTATTTCTCCCGTGGTGATTACAGAAAAGTAATTGAGTTCTATCAGCAGGGTCTTACTATCGCTAAAGAGGTCGGAGACAAAGAGTTAGAAGAAAAGGCGTATGCGCACCTTGGTGGTGCGTATTCTTCTCTCTATGATTCCCCAAAAACAATCGAGTATTATCAGAAGAATGTCAGTATCGCAAAAGAGGTTGAAAATAAAAAATCAGAAAAAATGGCATACATCAACCTTGCCCGGCTGTATTCCTCCCACGGTGTTTACAGAAATACAATTGAGTTCTATCAGCAGGGTCTAACTATCGCTAAAGAGGTCGGAGACAAAGAGACAGAAAGAATGGCGTATTGGAACCTTGGTATTGCGTATTCCTCTCTCTATGATTTCCCACAAGCAGGCGAGTTCTATCAGAAGAATGCCAATATCGCAAAAGAGATTGGAAATAAAAAATCAGAAAAAATGGCTTACAACTGGCTTGGTTGTATGTACGATGACTCCCTCCACGATTTCAGAAAAGCAGTCGAGTTCTTTCAGCAAGGACTAGCTATCGCTAAAGAGGTCAGAGACAAAGAGGAAGAACGAATTGCTTATAGGAACCTTGGTATTGCGTATTATTATCTCTATGATGTCTCAAAAACAGTCGATTTCTATCAGAAGGAAGTTAGCATCGCAAAACTGATTGGAGATAGATTATCAGAGGGTAAAGGGTATCTCAGCCTTGGGAGTCTGTATTCCAAACTCGGCGATAACAAAAAAGCAATCGAGCTTCTGCAGAAAAGTCTGAGCATCGCTGAAAAGTCCGGAGACAGAGCTGCACAAGGATACGCATATATAAAGCTTGGTAAGGTGTATAACAATCTCCGTTTCTTGGAAAAGGCAAACGATTTTTCTCAAAAAGGGCTTAACATCAGTAAAGAGATCAAACACAAAGAGTTAGAAGGATATGCATATGAGAACTTTGGTGATTTTTTATTGGCATCTCGGTGACCGCAAAGCATCATTCGAGTTCTGGGAGAAGGCTCTAAGATTCGCAAAAGAGACTGGGGATAAAGCGTTGGAAGGACTTATGTACAGAAATTTGGGCTTTGCTTTACAGTATTTCAGCAACTTCGAGAAGGCAATCGAATTCCTTCAGCAAGCTCTCAGCATAGCTAAAGAGATCAAAGACAAAATCTTGCATAAATCTGCGAATGAGGCTCTAGGTTTTGTGTTTGCTTCTCTTGGTAACTCCTCTAAAGCAGACGAACATTTTAAATCCAGCATAAAAGTGTTTGAAGAAATAAGGGATGTCCAAAACAAAGATGAATGGAAAATCAGCTTTCACGAAAGATATGAAATTTATTCTTCTTTATGGTGTCCTCTTTTAGCAAAAGGCAAGATCACCGAGGCACTTTTTACAGTTGAACGTGGACGAGCACGAGCTCTCAGGGACCTTATGGAATCAAATTATGGAGTGAAATCGGCCCCGTCATCTTCGGAAGACCTAATAGAAAGAATGTCTCGTATTTCAAGCCATAATTCATCATCAACGATATTTCTAGCGGAACACGGCAAGACGTTGAACTTCTGGGTACTACTGAAGGGACAACAGTGTCAGTTTGTGCGAAAAGAAATCAATCAGACCTTGACCAGTTTGAAGAACGAAACATACAAACAAATTGGTGTGAGAGGTTTCAGATGCGCGGAACGCTTCTTGGACGATCCTTTAGATGAAGAGAAGAAAGGGTTGCCTGATAGGGCTAGTACAGAGGAGAAAGAATCAACGTCATCGCAAGAAGATTTAAAAGCATTGTCTGACGTAGTGATCGCTCCGATTTCACACTTGATAAAAAGTGAGGAGCTTATCATTGTCCCCGATGGTTCATCGTTTTTGATTCCTTATGCTGCCCTGGTTGACCAACATTCCAGATTTTTGTCTGAAACGCTGAGAATTCGCATGGTTCCATCTCTAAACATTTTAATGTTTTTGGCAGAGCGTCCGGAAAAGTATGATAGTCCATCTGGTGCACTGCTTGTTGGTAATCCGTGGGTGGAAACTGTGCGCCTTAAAGGCTGCAGACCGTTTCCGCAGCTCCCTGGTGCCGAGGAAGAGGTAAAAATGATTGGACAGATACTTAACACTGAGCCCCTCACTGGAAAGAATGCCACAAAAGAGCAAGTGTTAAGTAGGCTCAATTCAGTGTCCTTAGTCCACATCGCAGCTCATGGTCGTGCCGAAACTGGTGAAATTATCTTGTCTCCTAATCTTCCTGGTTCCCAAAGGCCCAAAGAGAAAGACTTTCTTTTGACGAGGGCAGATGTATTAAACACCAGATTGCGCGCCAAGCTTGTTGTCCTGAGCTGCTGTAACAGTGGGAGGGGAGAGATCAAATCAGAGGGCGTGGTTGGAATTGCACGTGCCTTTCTAGGAGCCGGTGCGCGTTCTGTTATTGCTTCTCTGTGGTCAATTGACGACAAGGCCACTCTGGCGTTCATGAAAGTCTTTTATGAACATTTGGCGACAGGGCAAAGCGCAAGTATGTCCCTCCATCAGGCCATGAAATGGATGCAAAAGTCTAAACTTTTCAAAGCCGTTAAGCACTGGGCACCATTTATGCTGATTGGCGATGACGTGACATTGACTCTGGGCCAACAAAGGTGAGTTTCTGTGCTCTATGGTAATGTAAAATAATGATCGCCTGTTAATGTTTCTAGTCGATGGAAAAGAAGAGAAAGACTGCTAATGAAACTGAGACAAACTACGCATTGACAAAAAAAAAAAAAAAAAAAAAATTTT